ATCATGGCGGTTGTGCACCCACATACATACATACACCACACACACACACACACACACACACACACAATGAATTTTTTAAAAAAAGTTTAGGCATGAGCTATGACATGGATGGCCCTTGAGGACATCACACTAAGTGAAACAAACCTGTTGCAAAGGACAGATGCTGCAGATTCCACTTTCATGGCTAGTCAGGTTTATAAAGATAGAAAGTAGACTGGTGATTAGCAGGGCCAGGGAGGAGCATTGGGGAATAGTCAATGGGCAGTTTCACTTTTGCACAATGAAAAAGTTGTTTCATAACAATGCAAACATACCCGAGACACTACCATCCTGCACATCTGGAAAGGACTAAGAGCAGGCATGTTGTTGTCTTTTAAGAACCACAATAAAACTTTATAAAACCAAATGGGGTATGGTGGCACAAGGTGTATAGTCCCAGCAGTTGGAGGCTGAGGCAGGAGGCTGGAGAGTTAAAGGGTTAAAGGTCAGCCTGGGCTACATGGTGAGAGCCAGTCTCAAAAAACTTATTGATTGACTGAATGAATGAATGAATGAATGAATGAAAAGAAAAGTAAACACAAGGCACACTTGGGGAACATGAATACACACACACACACACACACACACACACATATACGCACGCAGGCACGTGCACACAGGATCGAAGATATTTCCTCTATCTACCCAGCCCTGGTGTAGAATTGCATCCTCTGCTGGTCCCCAAGGAGCCCACACCACAACACTGCACCTCCCTCATCCAGAAGCAGGAACAAGCCTAAAAGGAACCACCTCTCCATCCCCAGGGCTTAAGCCAGCACCTGGCAACCCAGCAGCTGTTGAATATATAGCTACTGAACAAAGTGTTAGTAGCCACATTGTAAGGCCAGGCTGGTCCAGATATCCTCATTTTACAGGCCACTGGAGGTAAGGCACGATGACCTGCCCCAAACCTAGAGCTGCAGGTGATAAGGGAAGAAATGGACTCAATATCCCAGACTCTGGTAATACAGGCCCCTCCCACAAGAGCATCTCCCTTCAAGGTCAACCTGCAATCAATGAGGAATTGGGAATTCCCTATTGCAAATAGCAAAATGAACAAAAAGTTTTCAAATAATGGTTCACACATTATACTTGTGATTCAGAACTTTGGGGAATTCAATTAAAATTTGAATATTTTTCGTAAAATGACACGTATGAAACTTAGATAAGAATTTTCAAAGGTTCCTGGACCCCCTAAAGTTAAAAATTCTCTTTGGCGGTGGGGGGTGCTGGAGAAGCAGCTCAACAGTTAAGAGCACTGGCTGCTCTTGCAGAGGACCCAGGTTCAGGTCCCAGCACCCACATGGTGGTTAACAATTGTCTGTAACTCTGGTTCTACAGGATCTGACACCCTCTTTTGGTCTCCATGGGTATTACATGCACTTGGTACACTTAAATACACACAGACAAAAACACTCACACACATAAAATTAAAGTTTAAAAAAAAAAAAAAAGAATCCTATTTTGGAGCCAGGTGCTACAACACACACCTTTAATCCCAGCGCTGCCCACTATGGTCCATCAAGAGCCACTCAAAGCTCAACATCCTTGTCCCACAAGTGTTCCAGAAAGTTAACTCTCATCCTTGACTACTCATCCCCACCCCACATCTTTGCGTATATGTATGGTGTGTGTGTGTGTGTGTGTGTGTGTATCTGTGGGTAGGGGCCAGAAGGGGGCATCAGGTGTCCTCCTCTATTGTTCTCCACTGAACCTGGAGCTTGCCTTTTTTTGGTTAGGTTGGTGCCAGAAAGCCCTAGCAATCTTCCTGTGTCCACTCCCCAAATGCTGGGGTTACAGGCACATGCATCTATGTCCAATGGTTTATGTGAGTGTTGGGGAACTGAACTGTGGTCTTCATGTTTACATACCAAGCACTTTCTCCACTAAGTCATCACCCCAGTCCTCTCCCTGTCCCATACCTTTTCTTTAATTTTTATTTTCAGACAGTCTCCCTGTAGCCCCAGCTGGCCTAGAACTCACTATGTAGACCAGGCTGGCCTCAAATTCACAGAGATCTGCCTATCTCTGCCTCCCAAGTGCTGAGATTAAAGGTGTGTGCCACCATGCCCAGCCCTACCCCACATCTTAACCATCATCTAATGAAGACTGATTGTACCTCCCAGGTGCCTCCAGGTCCCTGTCCAGATCTCTGTGCCAGACACCTAGCTTCTGCTTCCTTCCATTCCTAAACTAGTCTGTGATAGGTAATCTCAATTTTCAACTTGAGGAGATCTAGAATCACCTGGGACACATGTTTCTGGATATGCCTGTGGGGAATTATCAGGATTAAGTTAATGGAAGTAGGAAGGCCCATCCCCTGTGGGTGGCACCATTCCCTGAGTTGGGATCCCGGGCTGTATAAAAAGGAGAAAGAGAGCTGAACACAAACGTTCTTCACTCTCTGTTTCTTGACTAGGGATACATTGTGACCAGTTGCCTCAAACTCCTGCCATGTGAACTCCTCACCATGATGGCTCTTGAACTGTGAGCCAAAATGAAACCTTCCTTAGGTAACTTTTGTTCAGGATATTTTTTCAGAGCAACAGAAAGCTAGAACAACAGCACATCTTTATCCTCATAGAAAGCTCCAGTGTGTAGATCTAAAGCTTATAGTTCTTTCTGAGTCTAGCCTCACCTTCTGTTCAGGACACTTCTCCAGCATCTCTAGTCTTGAACCATCCTGAAACACTAAACACCCTAACTCACAATCTCAACTCCAAGCCTCTCTGAATGGGACAGTCACCCTTCCCCATCTAGCTAACTGCTCCTCTGCCTTAGGTTCCAGTCCAGCAGTCACTTCTCTGACCAGGATAAGGACGCAAGGATCTGCAGTTCTGAGCATGTCAAGCATTGAGCTGTAGCAACCTGGCATGCCTGCATGATCCCCCAACACCATGGCTTTCAGCTGGAAGTTTGTCCCCTAAGAACACTTGGCAACGAATGGAGACCACAAGATGCCCCTGGTGTCTGGTGAGCAAAGGCCAAGGTCACTACTAAACATCCTACAATGCATATGAGAGCCCCAAAATGAAGTAGGACCTGACTGACATAACTGGAGTGTTATTACAGACTCGACTGGGCACCTCTATAAGGCAGGGGCTGGGTCTTGCACACTACATGGCCCCAGCCACCGGCCCAAGGGAAGGCAAATGGGAGATGCCCACCAGGTATTGAACACATTACAGTTTAAATGCTGTGTAGGTTCCTTTGCCCAGGATTACAGTTCTTACACTGTGGTAGGATGAATGATGCTCTCAACCACCATCTAGGTTCTAATCCCTAGAACCTGTGGATGTTACCATAGATGGCAAAAGAGAATCGGCAGACCACATTATTAAAGAATACTCTGTGTGTGTGTGTGTGTGTGTGTGTGTGTGTGTGTGTGTATGAGAGAGTCTCATGCAGCTTAAGCTGTGTGAAAGAGAGAGAGAGAGAGAGAGAGAGAGAGAGAGAGAGAGAGAGAGAGAGAGAGAGACTCATGCAGCTTAAGCTGTTCCTGAACCCAATCTGTAGCTAAAAATGACCATGAACTTCTGATCCTCCTGTTTCCACCTTCCTAGTACTGGGATTACAGGTATGCACCACTATGCCCAGTTTCTGCAATGATAGGGAAGGAACCCAGGGCTTCATGCATGCCTGGGCAAACACCCCACCAACTGACCCACAACCCCAGATCTTACTTTGTATAGAATCCTGAAATGTAAAAATTATCCTAGATTCTTGGGTAGGTCTGAAATATTGTCACAAATATCTTTATGTATTAGGGAGAGGTATAAGAAGACCACACACACACACACACGAGCAGGTCACGTAAAGGAAGAGCAGAAAAAGTTGTACAGTTGGTTTGGATGGTGAAGGAATCTAAGTGCTAGAATCATAGGCATGCATCAGCATGCCTGGTTTATGCAGTGCCTGGGTTGGAACCCAGGGCTACTGCATACTAGGCAAGCATTCTATCAACCAAGCTACATCTCCAGCCCATTAAGCCAATCTGTTTATGATATCTTGCTATAGTGGCATAATAAAGACTACTTCATTCTGGGAATTATTGGATTGAATAGGAGAGATAGAGACAGAGAGACAGAGACAGAGACAGAGAGACAGAGACAGAGAGACAGAGACAGAGAGACAGAGAGAGAGGCTGTAGCTCAGCAGTAGTGCTCTTGCTTAGCATTCATGGGACTCTGAGTTCCATCCCTAGCACTGGAAATAAAATAAAGGCACTAAGTACCAGGGACCCAAGGCTGTTGGTGCAGAAAGTTGGAAGGGTATATGGTGAGTGGGTAGAGCTGAGCTGTGGATGTTTCTAGAAAGGCCACTGTCAAGCACACTATGAAGTCACCCCTCTGTCTTGGTCCTGCTGCCTTCTGGATGCCAAAGGAGTCAGGCAGGCATGTGACCTGACTGAGGTGAAGTCTGGTTGGCTGGTACTGCAACATTTTTCTCCTGCCTCCTCCTGCCCACTCCTCTCCCAGGTTGCCCTGTAGCCACAGAGACCCTTCCCTGACCTTCCAACACAGATGCAGCATCTCTGCACTTGCTGTTCCTTCAGCTCAGAACTCTCTTCCTCCAGAATCTCCCATGGTTGACTGCTTCTCAATATTCAGTCTCAGACTAGAGCTCCTCAGAGAAGCCATCCCTGACTGTGCTACAGTGTGAGACCTTCCCTGAGTGCAATCTCTTGCCTCAGTGCCATAGCTACTTCCTAACCCTCCCATATACCATAATTATCCTGTAGTCATTTTTGCCTGATCAATTATCAGTCCTTTCCTGCACCTCAACCACAGTTTCCAAGAGAACAGGGACTGTGTAACTAGCATATATGTATGTCCCTGGTACACAATAGATGCTCAGTGTACTCTGAATAAATGGATGGATGGATGGATAAATTTGCAGCTTGGAGGATGGATAAATTTGCAGCTTGGGACCACTAACACAAGGCGGGAGTCACAACGTACCTGATCTTGGCCTTCCTAAAGGCCAGCTCCTCTTCGTTGCCAAAGTCCAGGGACACATCCTCAGTATCGTCCACCAGGGCCTGGGGGACACCAGGAGCAAATAGCAGGTTCTCACGCAGCGTACACTCAGCCATCATGAGCAAGCACCCTCCCTTCCTGGGCCTGTCTCTGCTCTCTTCCCTGTGTTAGGCGCTTGCTGGCCCTTAGAAATGCGAGGCCTTCCCCATCCTCCTGACCACGGGGGCCCAGTGCAGCCCCAGGCCCTGAGATCCATACATCCCTTTTCCTCCCACAGGTTCCTCACCATCATCCTTGCGGCGCAGCATCTGCACCATCATCCCTGCCGCCCTACCTGCTTCATCCTCCTGGGTACCACTGGATACCTACAGCGCAGGCTCCAACTCCGCCCCTCGCCGCCCAAGACTTGGATGCCCAGGCGGCAGCAGACCCTGGGGACGCTGGAGCCTGGGGCCCGCAGCTTCACTAGGCACGGGTCGCCCCGGGGGAGGGGCGAGGAGGCGCGGAACGCGCGAACTGGGAAGGGGGCTCGCTCCGCGGCGGGGCGAGGCCTGAAAGGGTCCCCAAGGGAGCGCTGGGGACCACGCCCAGGACCAGCAGACTCAGAGAATGGGTGTCCAGCACACAGGGAACTGTGGCGGGGCGAGGACAGACCTGCCGGTCCCAGGGCAGTAAGCCTGGGAGGGAGGGTGCGGTGGGAATGCTGCAGTTGTTGCAGAAAGGTGGAGAGAAGAGCAGTTTCCAGGCGCTGTGAAAAGCTTGCTTTTTGGGCCAGGCATTGTGCAGGCCTGCGGTCTTAGCGCTTGGAAATCTGAGGCAGAAGATTGCCGGGAATTCGCACCTGCACTGCATAGAGAAAAAAGGGAGGGAGGGAGAAAGGGAGGAAGGGAGGAAGGGAGGGAGGAAGGGAGGGGAAAGTGGATCCCCAGGATTGAACATGAGGCTAGGCTTCGGGATAGGGGTATCTGCAGAATTGGGCATGCCCAGCAGAGTAGCTACTGACATGTGAAGGCCTTACTGGCCTTTTCCTAGCCAATGACATGATCACATCACCTCCCCTATGGCCTGTCCCCCACCCTTCATTCCCCGGCCCCTCTCCTCCCTACTCCCATTTTCCCCATCCTCCGCATCCCTGCCTTCAGCCCTGGGGTGGAGTGGAGTGTCTCAATGTCAAGGCTGCTGGTCCTCCTTTGCTCTCTGGCCCCAAGCAGATAAGAGGGCATTGGGCCACAAGCTTCTGGGCAGTTCACTCCCTGCTGGGCTGGTGGGGGTAATGTGAAGAGCTGTCTCACTCCTGATCCCCAGGCTGCCAACTGCCTTCAGGCCACAGAGAAGGGAAAGGATGGAGGGGACCCTTCCTAGGACAAAAAAGCATCCTCAGGAGCCAAGTCTCTTAAAATATTTCCCAAACTATGCCAGATACAGTAGGCCAAGCCTGTTATCTCAGCACTTGGGAAGGCTAAGGCAGGAGGAGCATAAGTTCCAGGGCTAACTTGTACTACAAAACAAGTTTAAGGCTAGCCTGGGCAACTTATCAAGACCCTGTCTCAAGGGCTTCAAAGGGTGGCACACATCTTTAATCCTAGGACTCAAGGCAGGGGCAGGCCAATCTCTGTGAATTTCAGACCAGCCAGGGCTACCTAGTGAGACCCTGTCTCAAAGAGAAGAACAAAACAAAACTTGTTTCAAAAAGTTTTTTAAAAAGGACTTGGAGGGGGCATGGGAAGATGGAGAGGTGCTAGAACACTTGCTTGGCATGCAAGAAGCTGTGGGTTCAAGCCCCAGTTATATATATTAAAATGTCTCAAACCAAAACCATACATCAGTTCCAGAAGCTTCTGGAACCTCTGCCACCTCAGCTGCCATGGCAGTCCGCTGAAATCGCCCCTGTGGGAGTGGGGCTGCCAGCAGATTGGCAAAGGCTCCCAGGGTCGGTCCCAGTGGTTTCTAGCCTGCTTTCCAGTTTGTAGTGTGCACAGGAAGGGCCTGGGGTCTGGCTGGAATGCAGTCTGGCTCAGTGACCTGCAGAAATTTTTCTTTTCTCACAGCTCCAATGTGAGGCCAAGGTCTGGAATACCCTTTGAGGTGCCAGGATCCCAAACCACCAAGCCTGGTTTTCTGGAAAGGGCTGTTGGCTTTTCCCATTCCATGGCAGGCTCCAGGCACAGATGTGGCACTGAGAAGCCAGCTCCCCAAGGCCCCAGCCACCAGGAGGGGGCATGGGCAGGAAAGGTTCACGGTGGAGGCCAGGTGGAGGAAAGAAGCCGGGTAGAATATTTAGGGGCTTTTCCTCCTACCCTGAAAACCAGCAGCTGTTGGTGTCTGCTACGTTGGGGTAGGGAGGTGGGAAAACCCCCTTGGAAGCCCCAACTGACATTCTCAGCCGTCAGTGGGTATCCTCAAAAAATGATCACTTCATCAACATCGAAATTCACTCTGTTCTCCCCTCCTGGCCTGCTGACTACACAGGGTGGGAAATCCACTTTTGATCCTGAGTCTGGCTTCAGCTGCATGCTAAGTAAAGTTTTAGGGCAGACACTGAGACTCAAGCTGAGTCTCAGTCAGTGGTCCTGATACACTAGTTAAAGAGAGTAACAGTAAAAAACAGAAAAGTGACTTAAACAGCACACTGAGAAAAGTAGAAAAAACAGATAGAGACTGCTGACTTGAGTTCATTTTCAGGGTAGGGTATGAGCTTGAAGTTTAATAGATGAAGAATCAAGGCAGGACATGGGGCATGCCTAATGGTTAAGGTGTGGTCCTGCCCATCATTATTTAGCTAGGGTCCTACAAGGTGGCCCAGATATTGTTCATCTCTTAACACTGTTATTGACCTAGGAGACCAATCTAGTCCTTTGGAAGTGACCTGCTCCAGGGTCCAGCCCTCATAAAGAATTGCCTTCATCTGGAGTTGGTCTAAACCTGGGAGGGTTTGGTGTTCCTGGAGTCCAAGGTGACAGCAATGACTTTTCTCTGTGCCTTCAACCTTGAAGGGAGAAAAGATAGGTTAAGTAGAGACACTCCATAGTAATTTACATATCTACGCAGGAGTCTGAGCCAAAGTCAAAGCAACTGACAGGAGAGGGCAGAATCCCCCATCCCCAGCCCACTTTTAGTTACTTTGGGGGCCAAATGAGGAGTCAATGCTTTTTAGACAGTGGCATCTGTTACTCGGTAGATTTCAGGACTCAGAGTCCTTGAGGGTCTCCAGTAAAGGACTTGGAAATGCTTTCCATGAAAGCCCTGGGGAATGCTTGCAGCAAGAATTGTGGGAAAAACTAACCTTTTCCTCCCACCTTTTTTACTGCTCTTGTACCCTCGGAGAGGGGAACAGAGCCTCAAGGCACAGTCCTATGGCTAGTCCTGTAGCTGGGAACCCCATGAGCCAGCAGCACATGGGACTGGGATACCAGCCTCATGTGTCTAACCTACCACTTCCACAGGGGTGTCTGTTTTCACAGCAGAACTATGAATGATACTTTTCAAAAGCATGAATTTAAAGAATGTGAATTAACTTTTTTTTTGGAGACAGGGTCTCATGTAGCTCAAGCTGGCCTCAAACTCACTACGTAGCTGAGAATAACCTTGAACTCCTGATCTTCCTGCCTCCACCCCCAGAATATTGGAATTACAGATGTGTGCCATCATGCCCAATTTTATGTGGCACTGAAGGTCAAACTCAGGGTTTAATGCATGCTAGGCAAATAGTCTACCAACTGAGTGCCATCTCTAGCCCACAGTCTTAGGTGCATATGTGTCTGTGTGTCGTACAGGATCATCCTCTGAGCCAAACTGCCACCATTTTCATGAATTCAGCTGTGGCCACTTGTAAATGATCATCCCAGCTGGGCTTGTTGGCTGTCAACACTCCCTCCTGGAAGGAGAGGTAGACATGGGATCTTCACCTGAGCAGCCAGCCTCTCCTCCCAACCTGATGTGTACAATTCTGCCCTAATTGCTCATGGCCTTGGGATCTCCGGAGGAGCGGGAGCGTATAGGTTGGGGAAAACTGAAGGAAGGGTGTGCCCCATCTGTGTAGCTATGAGAAAGCCATCATCCATGCTGGGTACAGACTTTCCAGTGTGGTTGCTTTGGGGTTACCCATGCTCCTGTCAGTAACCCCTTACTCAATAAATTCTGGAGAAATAAACACATTGGTTCCCCAGGGGGAACTTCGGCGAAATCAAACTTTGTAATTGGGACCTTAGAAGGAGAGGGGTAGACATTGCCTAGTTGCCCCCAGGATGAAAATTTTCAACACAGTCACAGTATATATATATATATTTGTGTGTGTGTGTAGTGTATGTGTATGCACACATTTGTGTGTGTGTGTGTGTGTGTGTGTGTGTGTGTGGTGTAGATCAGAGGTTGATATTGGGTGTCTTTCTCAATTGATCTCCATCTTATTTCTTGAGACAGGGTCTCTCACTGAACTCGGAGGTCACCAATTAGTTAGGCTGGAGGGGGGGAGGAGAGGAGGGAGAGGAAGAGGAGGGGAGGAGGAGGGGGAGGAGGAAGAGAAGAAGGCTAGAAAGATGGCTCAGCAGTTAAGAGCACTGATCACTCTTGCAGAGGACCCAGGTTTGGTTCCTAGGACCCACATGATGACTAGCAACCATCCTTAACTCCAGTTCCATGGGATCTGACACCCTCTTCTGACCTCTGTGGATGCTTCATAACACAGGGGCACTTGCATACATGCAGGTAAAACACTCATACACATAAATAAAAAAATTTTTAAGAGAAGACATGAAGTTGGGAGGGGTGGGAGGTGGAACTGGAGGGGAGTTGGGAGGAAGAGTCAGGGATAAATGTGATAAAAATATATTGTATGAAATTCTCAAAAGAATTAATAGAAATATATATTTAAAAAATATTTATTTATTTTATGTGTATGAGTGTATTGCCTGCATGTGTGTGAGTGCACACATGTCGTGTAATGCCTGTGGAGGTCAGAAGAGAGCATTGGATGCCCCTAGAACTGGAGTTACAGATGATTGTTAGCTACCATGTGGGTGCTGGAAATCAAACCCGGGTCCTCTGCATGAACAGTCAGTACTCTTAACCACTAAGCCATCTCTCCAGCCTCTATATTATTTTTAAAAAAGACAAAATATGGACATTAAACAAAACAAAAACAACAAAACAAAAAACCCCCATAGAACTGGGGTTCTAGCTCAGTGGTAGAATACTTGCCCGGCATGCACAAAGCTCTAAATTTAATCTCTGGTACTGAAAATAAAAAGAACAAGAAGCCTTCATCCATATCAGGGAACTTAGCCAACATCCCATGAGACTATACCCTGATTGCCTCATAAATATTTTTATTCCTCACAGTGTGCTTAAATCAAATTCACATACACACTGCACCTGGTATGTGATCAACGCACACAAAATGCCTTAAAGCAGGAGGGACCTCCCTCCTGCGTCTGCCTCCACACAGCCCAATATTTGTGTGGGAGGACCCAACGTCCTTTGTTCTGTGTACATCTTCTCCCCGCCACCTGTGTTCTCAGGGTGACATCTTTGAGATGGGGTACCTGCTTATGTCTCCTGTCTGGCATTCTGAGGATTCTGCTTGGCCTACTTTTGAGACTGGGATGGAGCCAGAGAACCAAGGAAACAGGAAGTCCAGGCCGTATCTGCAGGCTGTTTGTTGATTGCCTGGTGGAGGGTGGAGCAGAGAAGAGGCAGTCTCCAGCAAGCAAGACCCTTCTCCCACAAGTGGTCCACTTTGTACTTAGCACAGCTTTCAGCGCTGTGTAGCTACAGGCTGTCCCCAGGCCTGTGCAGGGGTGAGTGGAGAAATTAGCTTTCTACTTTACCTTTAGCCTTTTGTCGCGTGGATGTGTGACTCCACCCACAGCTCACCTGGCTATGTGGCAAGACCAGTTGCCCACTGTGGTTGGCACCTGAC